CTCTTACCCCCCTAAGCTCACCGCAAATAAGGTTTAATTATATTTGTTTTCACCTTGTTGTTATTAAGTTCAATTTTTATCTATCCCCACCTACAGCCCACGTTATGGCCCCTTTCCCATAAATAAGGTAAAATTGTTTTTATCTCATTTTCACTGGGTTTTTTTTTTTTTTTTTTTGAGCCCCGTCTGTACTCCTCACAATTGTATAACCCTCTAACCGAATATTCCAATACGCCCTTCTTCACAATAATAACACCCTTTAGGTAAATCTTCGAATAAAGTAAAAATATATCGGTTATAATGTCATCCTTCTTGGCCTCTTTTTCCATCAAGCTTCGGTGGCGAAGTTGGTTAACGAGCCTTTATGACAAGAAGGATGCCCAGGTGTGTTTTCTAGCCGAAGCGGGTATTTTTTTTCACTGCTTTGTAATTTTAATTGACAAAGATTTTTTCACGTTGGCGTTTTTCACTACAAAAAAAAGCTCTCAAAATATAGAGTAATTCAGATGGGAGAGGTCAATACATTATCATAATTTGACTAATTACGAGTCGTACCAACCCATTAAGTAATAACATTAATATCTACGAAGAAAAAATTATTTTCTGTAGAAAATAAAAGGTAATTATAGTGAATTTACAATATTTAGAGATATTAGTGTTGTAAGAACTCTTTTTTTAATTTTTTTTCCAGTTATTATTCTTGCTTTAAAATTGTATTTGAGTAATTTTGTAATTTAGTATCTTGTACCCGTTACATAAACCATCAACTCTACATAAATTTCGTATCAACCTAACAATTGTCTTAATTTATTAATTAACTTCATGCGGAGGTAATCCTTTACGAATGCTGTTGGAAAAATCAATTGGAAAATTTATGTAAATATTACTATCAGATTTATCAACACCTTGGTAAGTAGCATGATCTATGCTTTAAAGTATTTTTATTCCTTTTTTGACATGATTTAGAATTTTTCTATTAAAAAAGTGAGTATATTCGTGAACAGAAGTAAGTGTAATGTCATTCATTAAAAAATGAATTTTTTACCAAAAATATCTGAACAAACATCAGTTGTTTTCTGTCACATTAATCACGTATTGTTTTTTTTAACTATTTCTAAGGCTTTATTTGGGATTAGAGAAGCCTTGTTCTACATAGTTAAATCTACTTCTCTTAATTTTTTTTTAGATTCGAATTCCCAAAACGAATTTTCTATATTGTTTAATTCTTACGGTAAACGAAATGTTCCACGACTGGTCACTCCTTTTGGAAGTTATAATGATACTGTACTAGTCCATGCCATAGATGAAATTTTTTTTTTATAAGAAATAAAATAATAAATCAACGTTTTATATAGAAATTTNTACGACAACTTTAAGTCAAAAAGCAAACTAGAAGAATAAAGTATTTAAATAATATTTAAAAATTAGTGTGTTGGCATAGAGAATACTGGAGCGTAGGGCTCCATTCATGTGTGTGTGTGTGTGTGTGTTTAGAGATAGGGGCTTATCAACGTGCCTTTAACACACATACGAATTACATGGTAAAGTTTCGCGGACGTCCGCATAACTTTTTTTTTGTCATTATTACTACAGCATACATATAATAATTGTTAGCCAAAATCCGCCGGAAAAGCTTAACTGTCTAATTTTACTTTTTGACTTAAAGTTGTCGTAAAATAACTTATTAGGTACGTTTTTCTGTACAACAAATAAGCTCAATCTTTACTTTCATCCATGAACTATAAATAAATTTTAATAATAAATACAATAAGAAAATCATTTATTAAGATTTTTGTACAGCACGTTTACAAGTAATCACATTAAAATTAATTCTTTTTCTTACCTATTAGCGCTCTTATAATCATTTTGGCCCCATGCGCAGAAAAGTTTTTTACGCCCTCCGGAAGTAAGATATTTTCAGCATCTGAATTGTTCGCTTTTTTTATTCAAAAAGAAATATTATCTTTATCCATTCTTCTTGACAGAGCTACATATACTTGACTCGAGAAAATAAGCATTTTTAAAATGTCATTTTAGATTATCAAAACTTTGATCTTAAGTTTTCTGGATAGTAATAGCAAATGCTATAACTTTCGAAAATTGTTTTTTAAATAAAATCAAAGGAAATATCTAGGTATTTCCGTTATTAAATATTATTCTTGAAATAGAAACTTAACTATTGATTTCTCTTCTGCAATTATTTTACTTTCTATTTTATACTTCAACAAGTTGGTAATTCTTGAATGTGCACCATTATAAAAAATGTCAATTACACTTAAACTTTGAATAAATATTATATTTTCTTCTTTTTTCAAATTTAGTTTTTGACGCAACAAACCTTTAAGCATATTATTCAACATTTGTACAGGAGTTCTAAGACCTGTTATATCTATTGTTATTTTCTTGTTTTCAAGACCACCCATTAAGAAAATTTCATTGTTTCGTTCGCAAATAGTATTCATATTTTTTTGTCGTCATTTACATTTATTTACTTTAAATCAAATATTTTTTACTCAATATTTCTTCAACTACAAATTTGTTTTGGTATTTGTAAATTAAATCATTAATGTTATGCTGCATTTTCCGATTCTAAGAATCAGTTTGTATGTAAAAAAAACACTTAATTTTGTTTAAATCTTTATTTATGAGCAACAACATTTTTGGCAATTAAACCCCACGAAAAAAATTGTTCTGAATGATAATGAAACATCACACTAATTGCTTCCTTAAAGATATCATTGATGTAAAAATCATTGAAACAAAAATTGAGTTAGTTATACGTCTTATGAAAAATACTTTTACTCATAAATTGAAAATTAATTGTTTGATTATAATTTATTCCAAATACTCCCAGTATGAAGCCATTGTTATAACTCTTATATAATTTTTTGTTAAATAAGACCTGTCATAAGATATTTCGATTTCGTCCTTTTTAGAAAAATTTTCTCATAACATGAGCTATGATTTCTGTTGGTAAGTAGTCCAGAAGCTTTATTTCTGTTCACTAAAGGTGACGCTCTTATAAATTACACAGTCATTTATACATGATATTATCGCAGCATAAGGTACCTTTGTCAGTGTAAAACTGTATTTCATTACTTAATAAAGTATGTACTTGGTGAATACATGACAGGTATTTGACGAGCATTTATCAGATGTTCAAAGAGTAATCTACGGGCATTGGGCAGGAACTTAGCAGTCATATACAGGGTGTTTAGTGGGTACTTGACCGGTACATAGTGCACCTGAAATGTAGCTGATGTATTGAGCAACTATCTTGTGCAGGAAACAAATACTTTTTGGTTTTAATTAAAAAAATTTTTTTTTTTTCCAGAACTTTTCAGTCGTCATAATTCTCTTAATTCGTATGTTTTCTTTCAGTTCCTGAAATGTGTCTGCCACAGTTGTTCGCGCTTTGACAAGGTCTGCTTGGAAAAAAGTTTTTTTTTTTTTTTTTGTTTTCGTCGATTTTCTCCATAGCCAACCATTCGAGAGTTAGACGACATGTTCACTCCCTTTATTATGTACTTGAATTTGTCATCATATTTGATTGTCAGAGTGAAATCATGAGACCCCCCGTTTGTATGCCTAGCACGTGGCCTACATATGGTTGCTGTTTTACCAATATAGTTAGCCTATCGCACCAATTTCAGAACGAATATTTCTAACTAGTTGTGGACATTCGGAAACATTTACCCCCGTATAAAACATTTGTTTTTCATTATGTACCTTAGAAAATTTTATGATTTTTCTGCTTGGTCTTGAAAAATTCCTGAAAGCAGTGCGTACTTCAGCTATACGCACTTACCCATGTTGTCCTTGAAAGGTACGCATGGTTATTACTTTCCTCCACTGGTTCCTAGGTATATTTTGATCAGGAATAAGTACATCATCATTTATTCTAATGGAGGCCCATTTTGTTGCCGTTTTTTCCTTGAAGCCATTCTGAATAGGCATTCGCGTAACCATCAGTTCCAAAAATGATCTGCAAAATACTTTCCAATTTCCATTGTTTTCAAATATACTGTTTTACTTGATTAAGATAATTTTTTTTATTTGAAGAAAAAATGCTTCTAAAAGAAAGTGGTTCAACATTCGCGCTTTTTTGTTCCGAAAATCGGAAGGCAAAGTTTTTTGTTTGAAATATTTTCCTTTGGTTACAGTTAATAACAGTATTTATAACCGCCATTAACTCTCTCTTTTTCATGCTAAGTCATTATTTTCTCTAATATTCATTGTTTACTACTTTTTTCAAATTACTCCCATTGACACAGTACATTACCAAAGGTTTATCTCGATGACCACAAAGTCGTCTTAGGAATAAGACTGCTGAGTCGGTACTAAGTCTTTCAACGATTTCAGAATATGTCGCTCTCGTAGTTAATTAAGTAAACAGTGCTGCCTATCAAAAGCTGACAAATCATGCAACTATTAAGGATCGAATGTTAGGAGTTTCTTAAACCAACCATCCAGTATTTTTATTTGGTCTCATTTATTACCGTTTCATCTCCCTACATTATATAGTTCATTTCAGGGCATTAAAAGTCCCATGCCCCCCAAAAATCCATAAGTAACGTGATTGATGTATCATATAATATGACTCAAAAATACACATTATCACCCTTATTAGTTTTTTGGCAGCCTTCCTTGACTTCCATATAATATTCTACTTCTTATATTTATTACTCATAACTCTTCACAAAACTTTCAGTATGATTTATACTATACGTGATTATTTTATAAATGTGTATTTGTATTGGTTGATTTTCAAAACAAAGTATTTTAAATATGTTAATAAATCCAGGCCTCCAATCGAAACTCTAAAGAAAAGTACTTCTCCTCAACTGTTTTAAAACTTGGATAATATGAACTTGTCATAATTAAGTATATTAACAAATTTTATAGTTTTGAAAAATGTTATCGCAATGTAGATTCTGGTGTGCTGTAATTTTTGTTTTTATAATGTCAAAACAGTACAATATCAGTAGTGAAATGTTATAATGACGTATAAAGACATGTCAGAATTATTTCATAGCACAGCAGAGCACACTACAGCCATGGTGTGATGAATATTAAAGGTGGGTTCATTAGCCACCTTACCTATCAGCTAATTAAAACATTTGTAACAAGCTACTTTCCATATTGGATTTACTACCAATTGAAGCTAAGAGAATGTACAAAAATTCAATTTCATAAGAGGAGTAGGGAGTGAAAGAGTTTCAGTGAGGCATTTTTTAAACATAAGCTAAAACAAGCTAGAAATTACCGTATTTTGTAGCTGTAGCAAGGGAAGCCTAGCTACCAGTCAAATAGCTAAAACTGTATAATGTAAGAAGATGCATGTTAACATGGGTATCCTCTGTCAAATACGTCACTTAATGGACAGTTTAATGTTAAAGTTAAATAAGCATACTTGAACTGGAAATTTTTTTTCTACCATGTAGTTTTTAATACTGTAAAGTATTATGTTATTTGAAAGATGTAGTAAATGATGAGATTTTCCAAATTTTTGTTTGATTAACTAAATATAAATTGAAACAGTACGTAATTTGAAGAATAGTAAAAACCTTGTTTTCTTTAGATGCAGTCGTTATAATTTTGCAAAAGAAATTAGTGTTAATGCAGACCTCGAGAAAAATCATTAATGTCGCATGAATTTTATTAAAATGTATGAAAAACTTAAGACCTTATGTAGTTACACTTATTATTAGTTACTTAACTGTAACTAAATGTAGATAAAAATTTTTTAAATAGTTTAATCGAAATCAGTTTTTATTACAGAAGTATGTTATTTTGCGGTGCATTTTTATATTAATATTTATTTCAGCCTAACTATTACACTGCTGCAAGACCTCAACAATCCAGAAATTTGAGTCATAGAAATACCCAACCTGGGAATCAGACTCAGTTAGTTAGCATTCCTGGAACTACAAACAGTCAACCAACCCCCATGTATCCTCATTCAAGTATAACAATTCAACCTTCAGTATATGTCCAAGGACAAGTATCTGGGCTTCAACCTAATCCTCATGCGCAAGCTGTATATTCAATCAGTAATCAAATGTCAATGCAGGTAAAAATATTAAGATTTATTATTTCGTATTACAGTTCGTGTGTAGAAGTGAACTTACAGATTTGGTGTAACTAGCATAAAAAAGAAGTTGGTAAACTAATTGTTGACTGTCTCTTTATATTTACTAGATTACAATCGAATTATAAAAATTTTCAGTGAAGTATAGACAGAGATAAATCAAAATTGTAAAAAATTGGAGCAGAATGCAGTTAAAAAATCAATTTCCAACGAAGTTTTAACGTGGTTTTAAAAAATGATTATGTTTGTCACATAATAGACGCTTTTTTGTTCATAATTAACATATATGCAACCAATAGTTTTTTAAGTATTTTTTTTATAGTCAATTAGCCCTCTCATAATATTTAGGAGTTACTAAGGAATTATTTAACTTGTTGAGTCATCTACTTTAAAAATAAAGCCTGAACTTATCTATGTAACCTGATACACTTAAGCTATCCAAGTGGCAGCCTCTTTTTGACTAGATGCATTTTTTATATTACAGTGTAATTTTTTATTAACAGTTTTGTAAACAGCATATGAATCATAGACTACATCTAATATTAAATAATCATAGTTCAAGTGTGTAAAAAAAACTAGGGAACTTCAATTTTTTTCTAGAACTTTTCAGTCGTCATAATTCTCTTAATTCGTATGTTTTCTTTCAGTTCCTGAAATGTGTCTGCCACAGTTGTTCGCGCTTTGACAAGGTCTGCTTGGAAAAAAGTTTTTTTTTTTTTTTTTTTTTTCTGTCTCGTTGGTGCCCCTATAAGTAAATTTTAAGGAATATATATATANTCTAATATTAAATAATCATAGTTCAAGTGTGTAAAAAAAACTAGGGAACTTCAATTTTTTTCTATGATTAAAAAAGAATGAGAGTATTTTGTTTTTCTCTGAATTTCGTGTTTTTATGTAATGTACTTAGAACATATCATGTTACTTTTAACAGAAATTAATTTCAAGATTTTAATTATTGGGTTGTTATAGTTTGTAAAATTAAAGCTAGTTAAAGTTGTGGTGTCCCTTCGAATAAAAAGAGAGACTTGAATGAACGATATACCCTATTATACTTACGATGCTTACGACATTTAGAGAGGGATAAACGATCAACTATTAAATAGTTTTTTTACGACGTATAGGCAACATTATTCTAGCTTACTATTAGGCTGAGACATATATCTAAGCCAAATATGTTTTTAAAGCTAGTATACTAGATCTTATAAAAATACGAGTTCGATACTTATGCATGAAATTGATTCTTAGTTTTCTTAGAATATAATACTCATAAAGAAGTAATCATGGGTTTCTAAATATTTTTATAATATTAAAATGTTTTGAAAACAGCGCTTTTATAAGTTTTTAAGGTATTAAACTCTTTATGTGTATTATGTGTATGTATATATTGATAAAAAAAGATGATTGAATTACGCACACACGCATGCATGTATATATATACATACAATTTTTCGTCACAGTTTTCTGGACCACCTCAAAGGCATCAGACGCATCAAACGCAGTTTCCATATCAATCATACCAGCCTCATCCGGCTCTGTTTACATCAAATATTTATAGTTATCCTCCTGGAGCTCAACATCATGGTTGTAAGTGTAATTGTGGAAATTTATTTTATCCATTTTATGTATCATAGTCAAAATAAGTTATTGGCGATTTTGTTACATTAATTATGTTTTACACAAAATTTACTACTAATGATGATACTTCACTTAAGAAAATGCATATTTCTAACCTGTGTGGTGCAATCTATTGCGTTATTTTAATGATTTAATTAAAATAATATTAGTCTCGCTGAATACAGCATCGTATACAGAAATTCGTGGTATAATTCAAAGATAATAGGGCTTCAAACAAAATAGTTTATTATTTCTTTAAATGTTCTTCACCTCAAAACTAACCATTGTACTATATAATTCTGTTGGTTGAGCCAGAATTACTAAAAGTATTTGAGATATCTTCACTGAAGTTATCTGTAGCAAAAAATAATTCCCTAAAGTATTGGATATAATCTCACGGATTCAAAGAATATAAAAATGTTTTGTGATTATAAAAAAATTTTTTTTAAATAAATAACATTTTAACAGTAAAAGTCATAAATTTTTGGTTTTTAAAGCGGTCGTTGATTTCGTTTCTGTGTTATAGAACTATTTCTCAAACTTTTATCTTATTTCTTTATACACCTCCGTTATGCCTTTAAGGGAGTTCTTCGAGTTCTTAGTTCTTACAGAATCCATGAGTGACACTGGATTATTTAATTTAAGTGGCGTGTATATTATTATGGAAACTTAAACAAGGTTTTCTTATGTATTTTTATCTGCTTATAACAACTTTTCATAGTAAAGGAAACATAATTGGCAGAGTCGTTCTAGATCCTTTTCAGTCAGTTTTTTTAATAATAATTTTTATTAGAGCCCACAAGATGAGAATATCCGAGTTATCCAACCTGCTAACAATTTCTTAAAAATAATTTTTCAAATAAATTAGTCGAAGTTATTTTTTTTTTTTTTGTCTAAAAAAAAATATAAAAACTAGGTGGAATAGATATACTTAAGCCCCATAGTTTTCGAGTGAAAAATTCCCGAAATTTGAAGGAATTCTTTTTTCCGATTTTTAAAGCCTTGTTAAAGTATGAAAATAAAATATTTTTAGTGGGCACACCACGTAAACATTAACTATTAATATTTCTCCACAATCTCCAAGTAAAGAAATTTTGAAAAATTAAGTGGCATTGGGTGACCAGGTAGACATTACATGGTACCGCCACCAGTATCGTGTAAAGTTGCCACAAGTCGCCAACCTACGCTTCCATAATTGCCAAATAAATCGTCAGTCAGCGCTTCTAATCAAGGCTTTCAAAAATAATAGTTTAAAGCGCGTTAAATTCAAACAGATAAACAAGCTTAACTCAAGGTGACTAATCTGCCAAAAAATTAATTAATCAATTAATAATCGGCAACGATATTTTACAATTGAGCTGTTCACTAGATAATAAAATTCGGCACTTCAGATGGTGATCGTTTGATGGATCAGTTATTTATTTAGCTGACTTAAATATAAAGAAATTAATACGAAATGAAACTAATGTATATTTAAATTTAACCAAAGTAATTTATTAATAGAAAATACATGTGAACACGTACGTTAAGATAAATTTTAATTCGTCACATTTTAACTTGAAAGTGCAAATTTATAATTTTACTGGTAATTTTTTAAGCAACTAATACTTATTGTTGAAATTATCACAGTACATACAATCTTAATATTGATCACAGTAAGATATAAAGTTAAAATTTTTAATTTTGACTATCGCAGGTATAGTATAGTCACAATCCATCTTAAATAATTAACATCTTAACACAAATATGAATATTTTAAAATTGTCTTTGATGGATAAATATGTCCAGTCAAATTTGTTTAAATCCTCTATAATATCTTTATTTTGTTCATCAGCTAGTGTTTGATGAGTCTTGTCAGTAACAATATATTTTATTGAATCTTTTTTTTTCATCTTTCGCATTATTAGTAAAAAATTTAATCATTTGAGTGGAAAGCATGAATGTTGTACAGCAAGTTTAACTAGAAAAAAACGAAGCATTTACAACTAATTGTAAATTAAAGCTTACAAATTGAGGTTTAAAAATTTTTTTGGCAATTAATAAAATTAAATTTCTCAAATCATCACAAGACAGGCAATATCTGCACTTCCTTTTTAAAAAGTCAAGTTGAATTGATTTCATAAAGAATTGGTTTGATAATTGTCAAACACAAGTAATTTCTATTATCGTTAAACATATCACGCAACTGCCTAGCCATATGGCATCTTTCTTTTACAATAGAAAAAAAATGCGTAATTCAAAAAAGTTTTCTCAAAGAACTCTTACTGAATTATATCCAGCCAACGAGTATCTGACAATTTTACAAATAAATTAAAATCTTTAGAAATACTTCCGTCACATTCATTCAAAGTACCCCACACCCGTTTCTATTCTATTCTTTTTATAGTACTATTAGCAAACCAATTCTAAATTTCTATTAGTAAAAACTCTATTGTAGTAGGAAACTCGTCAGCTGAATCTGATGCTGCCAAGTTCAGTGAATGACATACGCACCTTACTAGTTGCAAATTAGGAATCTCAGCTTTAAGTAAAGTGTACAAAGAATGGTTTGTTTCACACATATTGCTTTCTCCATCAGTTGCAATTGCCAGCATGCTATAAATTGGTATTAAGATGTTATTAAGAAATGTTTTAATCAATTCGAATAAAGAGTTAGCATCAGCTCTCTCAACTTCCAGCAGACCAAAAAAATCGGTTATATGACGATTATTCTTCATATTGAAGTATTGTATGCACAGACACAAGTACTTTTTCTTTGATACATGAGTTGATTCATCAATAATCAACGAATACTGCATGTTTCCTAAATCATCTACCAAATCTCTTAACATATTTGGTGCTATGACAAATTTGATTAGATTAGAGCACTTCGTTCTATGTAACCGTAAGTTGTTTACCTGAAGATCATTTAAGACTTCACATAAGTGATCGGAACTTCGTTAGCAATAAATACTGAGAGCTTATAATCTCTTACTTTATCTTTATTCTTTGAAGTAGATTGAAAAAGTATGTTGATTTTGTTTTGTTCGACATGGATTGTATTCATGTTACAAACATGAACTAATGTAGTTCCGTGTTTTTCTAAATCGGATCGATGAGATAAGAAGTCTTGGTTACTTACTGCGCAATAAGCTTGTAATTTTAGGTATTTGCTTTTGTACAACCAGCCTAAAATATCAATCAGCGTTTCGTAGGATTCCACAAATTTTATTAAATCAAGATACAGAAAAATGTGTATTACCTTTAGCCCAATCTTCTTTTTCCCAAGCGGGAACGTACACCCTGGGTTTATCATTTCTAAGTCGCACCGACGTCTCTTTCGCTCTCCCTGCACTTTTTCTAGGGTTACTTGAAGATATTTTCCTAAAATCACGTTAGATTGGAGTCGTTATAGTAAGAAGTAAAAGTATTCACATTTTTATAAATACTTACACACTTTACTAAGCAGTGATGATCAATATTTACTTTTACGCGTAGATATCCCTAACCTTGTAAGCGTGAAGCTGTCGGCTTACAGTTTACAGGTCGTTACTTATATTAAGTGATATCGGAAATATTATTTATACATATACACTGCAAATCGCATTATTTTAACGCACTTGAGCGTGTATTTTGTGAAACATTTTTTAAGCACTTTCATGTGCATAATTTTACACGTTTCTAGTGCAAAATTTGTTGTTACTCACTTACAGTATATTAATTCACGCGTTTTAAATGTGTAATTACAAATTATGCACTAAAAATGCGTTGAATTATGCAAATGAAAATGTGTAAAAAGTATTACAAAGAATTAGGGCGTTGAAATATATATATAAATATTCCACACCAGTACAGTTCAAAAATAAACAAAAAACAGTTTTTTAAGAAAATAATATGTTTGAAGCTATAGAAAATTCTGAAACTGCATTAACGGCTTGAGTTAAGTTGAACAAAATAAATAGTTTCGCAAAAAAAATCAGACACGTAAATATTCCAGAATATTACTGTTGCAATCTGATGCTAAAAAACTTGGGTTAAAACAAAATGAATGAGACGTAATTTAACAACAGGGTGACTGAATTTAGTGTCGCCTAAAGCCCCGATCATGGAGAGCGTAACGCGTACCGCGTGACCATTTGAGCCCATAAGAGTGAAAGAGAGATGAAATACGCAAACCTCTCTCTCACTCCCATGGGCTCAAATGGTTACGCAGTACGCGTTACGCTCTCCATGTGCCCGTGGCCTAAGGATACTGAGCGTTTTTTAAAAATTAATTTTGAATCAGGCGAGTGGAGCTAAATCTTTCGAAAGTTTAAAAACAGTTTATAACATACTCTTCAGTATGCTTAAAGATACTGCTATTGCCTTAGGTTTAATGGAATACGACTCTTAAATATATAAAATATTTAAGGAAGCTTGTAACGTTATGCTGCCATATCAACTGAGAAAATTTTTCTCATGGTTTTTAATATCGAAAGACATTTGTGGTAAGACTATTTGGGTATCATTCTAAAAATTCTTTATTGAAGAGTTAAAAGACGATAAGCAAAATTATGCTTTATTACATTTAAATGAAATCTTCAAATTAGAAGGTAAGTTATGTAAAGCTTATGGATTACCAGAACCAAATAAAAAAATAACATCTAAAGATACTGAGGACAATAAAACTGTTATTGATTCAGAAACAAATTTCAAAGATTCATTTATTTAACTGCATAGTGATTAAAAGACAACTCTTAATAAAATTATTAATAGTGATACAAAATTATACTTTATTTCTGGTCCAAGAGATTTTGAAAAAACATTTTTGTATTGAACATTAATTTTTTATTTTTTTTTAAAAAAGAAAAAGGTTATATCCATGGCTGGGACAGAAATTACTTCAATTTTATTACTTCAAGGGATGAGAAGCCGTAGAACATTTTAATTACCATTAGATTTAAATTAAATTAAAAGTTATTTTTTAGAATACGAAGCTGTTAAAAAAATAC